AGATAAAGAGATTTGTTTCAGTCTACACCCTCCAACCACTTGACCCTGCATGAGCTTTTTATCTAAATGTGAATCATTCTATACAATATCAATACACTGCTGCTGCTTTCAGAGACTCGAGGGTGAGAAATCAGAAGTCGCACGGTTCGTTTATCCTGTCTTATTCGTTCTTTCTCATCAGCTGTGCGAGAGTCAGCCCCGCGTCTGAACGAGTGGTGACCTTTCACCCGAAACATACTTCGCGCATTTCCTTGTTTACGTTGTTATTCTTTTCTCATCCTTCTAGGAAATGACAGAAGATAGCCATAACGGAGGACGAGATGGGGGCGGGTGGCGCTGACCCTCTCTCTCTCTAGTACAGTGCTGCTCCAAACACAGGAGACCTTCAGCATGCTGCTGCTCTTTAATACACATGTTGGAGGAAGTTTGACGGATTATTCCTTTAAATCCCACCTCAGTATCGGTCATCAGACTTCATTTAAACTAATAAAGATCATGGGTGGCATTAAAAAACACAAACAAGCCTGGAGGAACACTTGAGGAATGCGTTTTTATACCTGGGTGTGGTTGTGATGATTTTTAGTCCACAGCTGATGTGAACTGTGATTTGAGAAAGAGAGAGGACAATTTTCTCTTTAGCTGTGGATGTTTTCTAGAGGAAAGCCAGCAGAGAGACGTGTTGACCCAGACTGACGGACTTTAATGGACTCTATATCGGTCTGTCTCCAGGATTGTGTTCAGCTGAACGCGCCTTGTTTCCTTACTCACTGTACGTCTGATTTCATCAGTGTAATGAAACCGCTCGCTCTGTGTTTGTGTTGTGCAGAGTTCCAGTTTCACCTGCTAGCTCCTTATTATCACATATCTGACAAGCTTGGATGTATGGTAATAACTAATGAAGTCCTTTATGTCACCTAAAAATCACATAAGATCCTCACAACAACGCATCTCCCTCCTGGGTGTGGGGCAGCAGATTAATACTCTGTTAGGCGACCCTTTGCTAAACCCTTTGATTAGAGCCTGTCAAGCTTTGGGTTCACTCTCGGCTTCTTTTCCAGACGATGCTGCTACATCAGAGCTTTGTCCTCTCTTTATAGGCTCCTTATAAAGAAATGGAAACACTAAAGCATAATTGTAATCTGTGTTTGTATTTCAACCTGCTGCAGTATGGTGGTACATTTTTCACTGTGTGTACCTGATTGGTTATCCTGGGACTAAGAAGGTCTGTGCAGAATGGATCATGGCTCACTTTCTGCTGAGGACACCAACTTTTATGCCAGAAGGAGTAGCCTGGCCTCTGACATTTAGCATCATATTGCTAGCAGCTGGTTCAAAATGACTGCCTAATGTTAAAACAACAGCCGGATTAAAAAAATATGGTCCAACTCTTCATGAAACATATAAAGTCTGTTCAAGACGTTCATCATTGTTAGGGTCCAAAATTGAACATTTGCTGTTAGCAGGAGATGCTAGTCTGCGCGTAATACGCTTTCAAGAGTTACTGCAGATATGTGACGCAGCATTTAAAAATCTAAAGTCCAAAATTCATTATTTTTGCTTTAACTAAAATTTCAAAACTTCCAGATTAATACTGCACAATTCCATGATTTCTTTTTTGAAGATGAAGATTTTGAAGATGTCGAGCTGCAGCCGTCCCTTGAATTGTTTGTGGTTCAGTAACTATGCACAAGTTCCCAGGACGAGATGCCTTCGTGTCTGGAATGACTTCCCTTGTTTGGAAAAGATAAAAACAAACAAATCTTCCAAATCAAACACATGAAGCTACCTGCTGTGAATAAGGGAGCAGTAACAATTGTAGCACATTCGTAAAAAAGTTTACCTTATGGAGACCCAATGCAGAAGTCACCAAACTTCTCTGGTTGACCGTCCAGGTCAGTCCTCCGGGTGGGTGCGGCTGTGCCGAGCGGAGGGTTTCCCCTTCTAGCTGTGAGGCCTGGACACCTAAGTTTGTGAGGGCGATAACTCGAGAACAAGGTGACGTAGGATTTGATGCCATAGCTGCATCTACTAAAAGTCTTGGACAAGTTTGAATATCAGTCACTTTGACGTCAAGGTCAGAGGTCAAGTTTTCAGAAACTTGAGAACGAGGCGACATAGGAGTTTCAAACTAGGCACATCTACTAGGAGGCTGAGTTGAAGTCACGGGTATTTTCCTTGACTTGTGAGATTCCCGGTCTTCGTCTTTGCCTGTTCTTGTTTGTGCTGCGTCACATTTCTGTGATAAATAAGTGGCCTAAAAAAAAACAAAGAAATGCTTGACAGGGGCTGAGGCAGTAACTTGGGGGGGCTTAGCTAACGGTCAGCATGTTGTCTTGCACTTCGTCTGTTGGCTCCACGGGGGAACCTAAAGAAACTATTTTAGTAACGGAGATGATTTCTTCTTTTGTCACAAGGATGCTGAAATGTGAACGAGATGACAAAAACTTTGTGTACATAATACCGATTTCATGTAACATTTGGCATTAATCATCGTTATAAGCTATGTTTTTCTTTAATGTGTTTCTTTGCCTGTTATTTTCCTCTAATGAGATGCCTTTTTTTTTTTTTTTTCTATTTTTTGAAAATTCACCAAATGGCCAAAGTGTAAAATACTGATATACATTGTAGATAAAGAAAAATACGAGAGCAGATAATGAACACGGAGGCGATCAGAAGCGCTCACAGTTGGCAGTTAAGTTGATGCTGAATTTAACTTAGCAATTATCTATGCATTCTTTTGATCTGGAGAAACGGAAAGTCATGAAAAGCCTCGCACGCTCTGGGACGGTTGTGAGAGAGAGAGAGAGAGACTGTATGTATTGAACAGAAATATTTTTTATTTTATTTATTCTATTTTATAAAAGGTATATACTGATTTTTATTAGTTGGGGCAAGTAAAGTCTCATGACTGTCATCGTCTCAGTCCCCGGTTTAGTCACAATGCTACAACAAGCTCCGCTTTGCAGAACACAGCAGGTTATGGATTATATCTTCACCTCGTACAGTGTACCGAGAGCTGGGAGTCCACTGCTCCGTCTGAACCGCTGACCGGAGGGTGAGGAGAAAGATTGTAGCAGCAGTGGACTCCTTGCATCTCTTGTCAGTCTTGCACATAAACAACGCCCACACACACACACACATATATATATATATATATATACACTCCATTTCCCACTGATGGATGTGTCTGCTTCCGTTTGCTGCTCACTGATTTGTACACTTTATCAATGTAACCAATTGTGAGAATAAACAGCATTATAAAACCCGTGCGTGCGCGTGTGTGTTTGCAGCTATTTTTGTGATCGGTCTCTTGCTTAATCAGAGTCCAGCTGTCTGCAGCTCGTGAGTCATTAAGAGTTATTTATTCCCATGAAACTTTTTGTTTTTGTATCACTGAAGATTAAAGAGATGTGCGTCATTTTACTGGAGGAAAAAAGCAAAAATGAAAATGTTGTAGGGATGTAACAGTTCTAAACTGTGAATGTAAAACAACCGTGAGATCCCACAAAGGAAAATATGGGCCTGAAATGAGCATATGTCACCTTTAAGCCAGGCCTCCATGACAGCTATACCAAGCACTTAATTTTGACATGATAAATCATCTAAATCATGTCAAGTTCTGCATTTTTCAGTTGTGTGGCCACCTTGACTGATAGATGGGTACCAATCAGGTCAGTAGTTACACTTTGTGCCTGACAAATACTGCAACCTGCTCTTCACTGAACTTCACTGTGGCCTAAGTAGTAATTTATTTGTGTATTAGTCAACATAAATTACTAGAAGATCTAGTTTATGAGTGAGCCACATATATTTAAAAAACAAATCTAAGCAGCAGAAATGGCTACAAAATAATTTAAATATTGTAATAATTAACTCATTCACTGCCAGCCATTGGCAGTGAATGAGTTAAACCCATTGACTCATTCACTGCCATTGACGGCTATAGACGTCAATGGCAGTGAATGAGTTAAAAAGCACTTGATGTGGCGTTAGTACATCAGTGAGAATACTTTTTTTTTTTTTTTATACACCAGGCAGAGAGATTGAGGATGAAGACGTAGACATGTTGCCTTGCTGGGAGTTGAGGGTCCCAGACAGAGGCCTGTAGCCAGAACTGCCACTCCTGCTGCGCAGAGAGGTGGAGGAGATTGGTGGCAGCCCCACATTGTCAGCTCTGACCGCCTCTTTTGCTGGTTTAGCAGCGTCGTTCGATGTTTCCTGTGCTCTTTCAGGCTGTGCGTTTAGTCCCGTGGAGGCTGTGTGGGGAGCGGGTATGGCAGGAAGAGCGGTTGAAGGATGCTTTCCAGCGGGGGAAGGCGTGCTGAGTAATGTCTGCTGTGATTTAAACGCTGGATTGATGCTCATCCTCTGTGCCAGAGCTGTGATTGGAGACAAGTGGTTGGAGGGTTTTGCAGAGGACATTAAAGCTAGTGTAAGGCGAGGTATTCGTCTCGGTTTGCTTTTCGTCCGACGCCTTTTGTGATGTGATTGGTTGACTTTTTTCTTTGTCTGTTTCTTCTTGTGGCCTTTAGGTTCATGCGTGGAGACAGTAGTGTTCTTGCTTTGCTTTGAATGGCCTTTTTGCTTACGCCCTTTATGCCCCCTCCTCTTCTTTTCCCCCTCTTTCTCTGTCTCGCCCACTTTTTCCTCCTCATCATCTCCCTCGCCTTTCTCCTCTTCATCTCCCGAAGGTGTGACTGGATCTCGTCCATTTGGCAGCTCTCCTCCCGTCTCCCTCTCAAGGCTGGAGGAGGATGAAGGTTTGCTGCTGGCTGATGCTGCTCGATTCTTCTTGCTTTTCCCCTTTTTAGCAGCTTTTGATTGTTCGGGAATCATTCCGCCCAGGAGGCCCTTTGCCGCCGCCCTTGCCAGCACATCTTGGACTGTTTCCACCTTAGTAGGATCTGCCTGAAGAAGAAAGAGCAGTTTGAAGATTTAATGTGAAGCCACAATGCATTAAAATGTAGCACAGGGGACATCTACACAATAAAAACACAATGGTGTGGAAATGAGCTACAGCCATAAGGCGAACTTGCAGAGGAGGGGGAGGAGGCTTTTACACCGCATCATGGCAGCAAATAAAGAATATCATCTGAAAGGCACCAGGATGATCACAGTCTACAACCACTTATGTTTCCTCTCTATGCCCATGTGAGAAAACAGCTGGTTTTGGACTGAATGCTATCATCACAATGATACCCTGCTTACAACAAAAATGCTAATGTGTTTGTAATGTTTGCCAGCCCTCAAAGTAAAACTTCAGTTTTTCTTCTTTAAGTACCGAATAACCAACCTGCACTCAGAAGTTCTCTGAAATTTATCTCGGTTTATCCTATCAGATGTACGAGCATTGCCAGATTAATTACAGATTATCCCGTGTGGATAGTAGAGAAACTATTTTTAATCTGGACAGAAAACACAGGACCAATCGAAAAATCATCCAGCGTTAAAGCTTCAGGGCCATTAATCCAGTCAAATACATAAATAAAAGGTGAGGGAAGATAAGCGATAAATTCGGGGTAGGTGAATTTTGTTGACAAGCCCTCGGGCTGAAAATTGTCATAGTGTAGCTTCCCACACTGCCACTCCAGACTGGCTTTAGAAGGTGTGTTAGTGCCACAGACTCATGTTACAGAGGAAATGCACAGATTAGAAGCTCAGTATAAAACAAATGGGCAACCAACTCTGAGTTCGGGGGCATCTTTATAATGTTGTAAGTTTTGTAAATTTGTCTTGCGGTCTGAAGAAGTCTGTGCTCAGTTCTTGTTACTTTGTGCAAATTAGATCGTATTTATCTCTGTGTGTATTTATGCTCCGTGCAGCTTGCTAACCAAGCTTGTTGGTGTTAGTTAATAACTCTTGTCTAAAAATGACCTTTTATGTAACCAAAAACTAAGATAATGAAATTCAAGGGATCAAAACTTCTTCATGAAGTCACCTTGGCAACATTCATTTTAATGTATAACTCCCCATCACACTGAAACACAAATAACCCTGTGGAAAAGAAAGTTTGCACAGAGACTCTGCAGTCTCGTGCGAATCTAAGTACACTCCACGATTCAGTCATGTACTGAACCACCTTTAGCAGCAATAACCAAAGTAATGATGAAGTAAAGGTTTTCTCTCTCGTGCCATTGTGGGGGAATTCTAGTCCACTCTTATTTACAACGCTGCTTCAGTTCACTGAGATTTGCGGGCATTCGGTCATGCTGGTGTAGCTTTGCTGCTGTGTTTGAGGTCACTGCCCTGTTGCGTGGCCCGATTTAGGCCATCTTTTAGCTGTTGGACAGATGGTCTCACTTTTGACTCTAGAATACGTCAGTGTGCAGAGGAGCTCATGGTAAAATCCATGACTGCAAGGTGCCCAGGTCCTGTGGCTTCAAAGTAAATCCACATAAACACACACCTGAATGCTCAAAACCAGCACATTATGCAAACTTCTGCTTTTACAGAGGCGCTCACAATCACTGATGATCACTTAATCAAATGCATTTGATTATCAGCACCTGGCTGCTAAAAGGACGTGCTCAGTGTTTCACAGGACTGCAAATGAACTTTGTACGTTACAGCCTGAGTGTTATATGGATAGAAGTGAAAGGTTGTCATCGGCAGTGCAGAAACAAGAAATCCCATTAAATTTTCCCGAACCTTCGCTCTGTCTGTTTTCTGTCACAGTCTCTGAATCATCATTTACTTTCTCTTCTCTTATGAAAGCTGCTTAAAAATATTACAAATGCATTTTCTATTCACCCCTGAGAGTTTAATCTGTCTCTGCAGTTTTCCATTTTTCTTACTTTGACAGCATTGTACGCTTTGAGTCATTTATAAGCCTCAGAACTTTAATTGCGCTGCCAACGTGGTGGTAAAATGCAGAAGACTACAGTTTACTGGAGAGCGGTATGACTGATTGCAGCCCGTCACACGTGTTTAACAGATAAAATATTTCAGGTTTCAGGCTGATGAATCATTTTCTAATTAAAATGTCTACTTTGAGTCTCAGTGACAAGATCATTGGTCTACCACTTTGGTCCAGGCCGAAATATCTCGCCTATCCGGTTGATTGATTGATCAGGAAAATGTGACCACTTCAAAAGCTTCATTGTTATTCAGCTATTAGCTCAAAGCAGCACTGATAACCACACAGAGCTTCCAGCTCGGCTCCTTGAGTCGTGTGTACACACTTACATTTTTAAATTAAAATGCTAAATCTACAATTTGTGAGGAAATACTGGAGATACTTGAGAGGGGAATAGAGCTCAACAACCTCCCAGATGTGGAACAGGTGCAGTTTGTCCCCTCGTCTATGAGGACGGGTTCTCATTTCTTAATTTCTGTGTATCTGCACGCATCGATGAGGTATCTCTTCAGTGTAACAAAATCTGCAGCCCCAGCTCTGTGTTCATTGTAGTCGCTGTAGTGGTCGTCAATCCAATTAGACGTGATCATTAGATTTTAAATTACCGCAGCGAGCTGGACAGGACAGAGGTGTCTGCAGCAGCGTGCCCATTTGTGTTAGAAAGATACGATTTGCATTAGAAATGATTCTTTAACCAGCAGCACATTCTGCATGAGAACGTTTAAATGAAACCCTTTCCTGCACATCAATCACCTGGTCTTTATTATGTATGTATATATATATATATATGTACACACACAAATATCTTACAAATATCTTATTTGTGCCTCTTGCCACACTCTGTGTGTGTGTGTGTGTCTGTGGGACAAATCCAGGAAGAAAGACCAATTTAAGAATGATTCCTGGTAACTTTTATGTCCTCTTTGTTCACAGAGTGCAGGATGTGCTATATGTCAACTGTTATTCTATTAACCGATCCTTCAGCCGTGTCTCAAATCAGTGCTTCTCTGCTGAAGGAATTGGCTTGTTCACACTGACAAGTACCTACAAGCAGACTACACGGGTGGTGTTTGCTCTGCTTCTCACTCTCATTTGTCCTACAGTATCCAGCGTTTGAGTTTACTGTCTGCACAAACAGGTTTGTTGTGTACTTGTACATGCATGTCAATTAACGTTTCTGCCTCCATAAAGAGTCATTTTTCTTCTCGTCAAATGTCTGATTTCACTTAAAGGCACTTTCTTGTTTTTTCTTCAGCACTCAAAGGTGTCGAGGAGTTTTAAACTCGTTTCATCCTTCAGCTTTCAAGATGCTACTTTATCTTTTCCATGTTTACTTCCAGATGTGAACATTTAGCATGTAGATCTGCATCACTGCAGAAGCTAATTTTTTAAAGCTTCTTTGTCTTTTGCAACATTCTTTTATGACAATAGATTTAAAGGATCAGCGTTACTAGGGACTTACTAAATATTACTTTCAACTCCTATAAATGCATTTTTATACATGAGTAAACGATTATAAACCCAACGTGATTGAATCGTTTTTGTTGTGGCTCTACGGACCTCCCTGCAGCATTTTTCGAGCTGCAGGTGATCGAAGGAGCAGCAGCTCCTTCTGTTGTATTTTTCCCTCTTTTTATGAGTGCAGCAAGAGGCAAGAAAGGGGAGGGGGCAAATGAGGTGATGCAACAAGGCTTGAGGGCTTGGAGGAAAGGCTGAAAGAGCGACACAGAGAATTATCCATTCATCTTGGCTCTGGAGTACTGAAATGTTTCACTGGCTCACAGGCATTTCATCTTTAGCTTGTCTCATTTTTATGGAATATTGCTGCAGTGTTTTTACAGAGCAATGGTACACACACACACACACACACACACACACCTACCTACTGTGTGTGCGTGCATGCGCAGGCTCACAGAGCTGACTGACCTCCCTGCAGTCAGACAGCAAAGAAGTGCAGCCTCAGCACTACTAGAAGGTCTTGTTGCAAAGCAATTGCATGCGCGCACACGTGTAAATACTCTACACACATCACAAAATCTCAGTCCTTTAAAAGCAGCCTTGTCCTTTATTCTCTTCTTACTTTCATCTTACGCTTTCTCCTCCCATGCGTCTCACCTGTCGGGACAGTCTGGCGACGAAGCAGCCGTTGGTGACCTTCGATGGTTCGAGCCTGAAAAACTTGTGTGAGTCCGTTTCGCCTCCTGACGAGGAGTCGTCCGGGAAAATTGGACCATTCACCCTGAGGGAGCGGTACAGAACGGGAAGAAAAAGAAAGCATTTTCACACTGATTCGTCATCATCACATGCATTTAGAAGAGGATTACTGTAAGCCCAGGATGCATAGTTGTGGTCCTTGGGAACAGTGTGTGTGGCTCATGAGCCAATGAAAGATGATCACCACACAGTTCATCAAATATGAAACCATAGGGGTGTTTTTCTTCTGTTTCAGCCACGATACCAACTAAAACCTCCTAAGAGCTACTGACAAAGCAGGGGTCATAAAAATACCACCAAGGCTGTAAACCATAGTAAAAAATACCAACATAAATCGCAGTTCTCTGAACAGAGACTGTACGAATGCTAAATGGTTTTGATGTATTTTTCCTGTGCGGCCCTCAGTCACAAACAAATTTCCTAAATTGGCACTTGGTCGTCAGAACTCGGAGCTCCCCTGCTGTGAGTAAATGGTTGTGTAACGCGCACAAGAACTGCCAGCTTCTGGAAATTGAACCAAAGAGAAATAAATTATTTTGACAACCAAATAAAGAAAACAGGATTTGTTTAATCGGCCTCAGCTTTTCTTCAAACTTTCTAGCGCCGTGGCGAAGTTCTTGAAAAACAATGTTGCTAGCAGTTTTACTTGATGTACAAGCAACAGCAGTCACATGAAACAGTACGTGGGCATCCTGCAGTTCAGTGTCAGTGCAGTAGTTTCCAGGCACAAAGGTTTCCTGTATGTAAGTGGATGGGAGTGGGTGGCTCATCAGGTGCTTCTCGTGGTGTCTCTTGACAGATTGTCCTGTTCACAGCTTAATGACAGTCTTGTTTATGAGCCTCGCAGCTGTTGCTGTCAGGCCATACTTCTGGTCCAAGTTCCCTTCAGGATTCAATATTTTAGGAAATGTTGAATGAGAAATCTCAGCAGACCAAGCGCTGTCTAAATCTTGCTGAAATATGGAGACGATGTGCAGATGTGACCTTCGTTCGCATTAAAATTCTCAATGCAATGCTGATTGTGAAAGCAGGGTGCTCTTTATGTCGAGTGTTTACACACACAGTCAGATTTTTGGTGGGGCAACTTTTCATCTCCACTAAAAGCTATTAAGATAAAACTACGCTCGTGCTTTTATAATGGGTTGTGAGCTCACATGTTAAGTTACATGACTGGAGTCACATGTGTGGAAGCAGAATGTACAGGAATTTTTGGTGTTGTTGAGCCGGCTAAAGGAATTTCCTTGTTTTTAAGAACATACCAGGTTGTGGCCTCTGTTGATGTTTTTGCTCTCTGTGATAGATTTATTATGGCTTTTCAGCCTAATGACGGCTTCCCCCGCTTGCACTGACATCTCTTTGGGCCTCATATAAAATACAAAGTTCAACACTGTCATGAAATACCAGGGGAACAGACATCACCTGGCAATGAAACTGCTCGTCCCTTGTCTAAGTACATTCGAGCCTCTGTGGACTGTGTATAATGTGCCGGTCATTCCTAAACAGTTAATGCAAGTTGCTGAAAGTCAGTGCTTCAATCACACATTTACCATTTGATTTCAAATCCACTGTGGAGGCAAACATACAAAAACTGTGTCAAAAACCTGGCTATGTACTGATCGCTACTTCCTTCCTCCAAACTTCGCTGAAGTGCAGTGGTGTTTGCAGTGCACTGTCATCCTTTGTAAAAACAACTGAAACATCTGTGTTTTCACAGAACAGATACTGGAAACACAGAGATCAAACATGTGCCTAAAATCCTAACGCAAGTTGATAAAAGAGCTTATGTGAGCTGATTTAATAACATTTGGATTCCTTTAAGCGGACGGATGGCAGGAAATGACTTTTGTGGAGCAGCAGGCATGAAACAGACTCTGAAATCTTCTCCGCCCCGTTTACCCCGACTGCGGGATTAATCTCAGGCCCACCGGTAACAGCAGCTGATCCTTTACACTGTCATCAGCCTGCTGACAGACTCTCTCTCTCTTACACACACACTCTCTTATAGAAAGGTAAAAATAATAGGTTATTTAGAAATCCGTGCACGGGAATGGTGACCCAAACCGCCGTATCCGCTGGAATCACATGCTTTCCAAGCTTATAAAGTGAATTTATCAATGTCAGCATGCTTTATCTGATAGCTTTTGTGAGTTTTTGCTCACATGAGCCCCATGCAAGGGTTTGTCCTACCATCTGTGTTTGGACTCAGAGATAATAATCCAGCTGCAATAAGAGAAAACGAACAGTTTAGCTTTAAAAAAGCTGAAATGACATTTGGTTTCTGTGGTTATTGCACGGTGAGCTGAGCCCTAGAAAAGAAGATGGGCTGCTCGTTGCTCCCATTTCTATTTGCTGTGGAAATTAACGAATGATGCCAAAAGATAAAACGAAAAAAAAGGACCATCAAATTAAACAGAAAGTATCTGAGATGGTTTAAGTGCCTCCTGTTTCCTGTTACACTGCCCTGTAGGTTCCTCATTACGCTTGTGTTTGTTTAAGCCTGTGGATTAAAAAAGTACTTTATATTTATATATGACTAAAAGGATTAAATGCCTATTAAGCAGACAACTGTATAAAGATGCAGCCGAGTGTGTTTGTTGTACCTGTAGGGCAGCAGTTTGGGGTGAGTGTGTGTTTTCTCTAACACTCTCTTCACCAGCTGTTCGTTTTCCTCGGGATACACTGAGCGCGTGCAGTAGACCACAGTCTGAACCTTTGGGACTGATGAATGAAGGAAATAAATGAATTTTTTTACCAACAGGAATAAAAATACATAACGTGTTTAAGTTGTAGCTCGGTTGGTGAAAAGTGTGTGTGCTTGGTATTTACTCACAGGTGAGAGCGTGTGCCAGCAGTTTCGCCTGCTGGGCGGTCAGAGAGTTTATTTTTCTCTTGGAAACAGAACCATGGGACAAATCTGGCAGCAGACCCCAGTCTGTCAGCAGAGGAGAACCTGTTTAACGTCTGCCCTTGTTTAACTCTACTTGGACATGACTGCATAATATTCAAATGTTAAACAAAACGACATATATTATGTTTACTCATTGAAACAGGAGGTTGGGGTCTCTTATATTTCCCTACCTCCATGTTCACTGTGGATAGCGGGCACCGGGTCATTGAGGGCAGAAGACGAGCACTGAGGCAGCACCATGATGACCTTTACTCGCTGGACGGTGGCATCTCCGTCATCCAGACCGTAAAACGCTTGTGACAGGACACGAACGTCTACATCAGGATGTAGAGCAACATGTGAGTGATCGGATTAGTGTTGGCACTGTGCTGCCATCATATGTAATATTCAAAACTCAGGGTTAGGGTTCATGAATGTTAAAGCTTAAAGGACAAATACAGCGACATCAGCAGCAACAGGGACAGATCAGTACATCTGAAGTGTTTGTGACTCACTTTTTAAGTCCATCTGTGTGAGCAGTTCCTGGATCTCCTCTTTGTGTGAGGGGTTGTGATCAGCGCCACACACCAGCACTCGGACCGAGCGGGCAGCAGCCACAACAGCCACGTGTGCCACGGTCATGGCCGAGAAGGCCCCTGCTAGCAGGACGTCGTTTTTATCAAACAGCAGGGGGCGTAACACACTTGTTGCCACGCACACGCTCCTGTCCTACAAAGACAGACAGACAGGTGTGTCTGCTATTCACACAAGATCGGTGGACTACTTTCTCCTTAAAGAAGCTGGCCCCTCCGGACTTACAGACCGCTGTGCAGCTAATCGAATTCAAGTGATTCAACTCAAGACTTCAGACTTCACATCACAACAGGAAGTCAGCCTGGATCAAAGGCCAAAACTTGCACTTTATCGCACAGCGGTGAAATGCTTTCCACCTAGAAAAAGACTATTAGGCAGCCTTCATACAGACTGAGTGTGTTTCTTTCTGCTGGTTTCGATTCCTGTAACTTTTTCCTTCTTAATTTAAGTCTTTTATAGAGGAGCACGCAGCGCTCACGCTAAATGCACGTGTTGCTAATGATCTGAAAAATCTGGACCTAAAATGACCGTCAGTAGAAAAGCTGACAAAAACAGTGAGTGAGCTGGATTTCCACTGTTGCTGTTCTTTAAACTGAATATATGCAGTGATTTTTATCTCTCGCTGAATCCTTTTTCACTTTTAACTCTTACCTTCAGCTTTCACTTTAAATCTTTCAGATTTACAAGCAGATCTCTAGTCCCCTCTAAGAATGACGTCAGCTGTTGGTCATCACCATCTTGTTCTTTGAAACCAGACTTCACAGTTATGACTAGAACTGACTGAGAAACTAAGGACTCCCATCAGGCAGTAATAAATAATACCAGAAGGTTTTTCTGAGACCGTACATCCATCAAGAAAGCATTTACCCAGGTAAATCAAGTAAGGGATAGCTTTAATCTCATAGACTTTTATGCAATCTGACATACTTCTGCTTCCAGAGCAAGTTCCCGCTGCTGATCATTAGAAAGAATGCAGATTTAAAGGACATCTGCAATGGCTTCACTCCTCTTGATTTAGTCTGTATGCATTTTCCAATAAGCACCACTGCTTGAAAACATAAATCCTGGTCGAGTCACTTGAGGGGCTTTAATCTGCCAGCTCTCTACTACAAACTGTCTGATTTGTGGCATCCACACCTCCCACGTCTCAGGCAGCATCTTCACCTAAACTAAAGACTTCCAGTGGTGAGAATGTGCCCAATCCCAAAGATCGCCTGCTGTGTGCTACTCTGTTCTGACCTGACTCTCCTGATGTTGTCTTGAGTTTACGTGTGAGAACACCTCATGAGTCCAGCACTCTTCCCCGCTCTTTGCTCTAGTTTGCTAAGGTTATGTTCAAGTGCTCACCCCAGAGAAAACAGGTTCTCAGTTATCCTGGTCATGGTGGCCTTAAGAGCTTGAAAGGAAGGAAACCCACCCCACAAGGGGTGAAAAAAGGCAGGGGTCATTATCACCAGAGGTTTTGGGGGAAAGCACTGTCAGACCATGCCCTACCCAATCATGTGAGCTATTTATGTCACCTGACGCGTAGTGTGAGTGGGGGTTGAGGTCTGGTAAGGGATCTCAAGACATAAATTGTAGGTGGGTGACCGCAGGTGTCCTAAGCCACCACCTCTGTTCGATGATGGTCACTTATATTCCTCTTTCAAGCCATTTTGCCATCCCTGAAAGAGTGACCTTTGACCTTTAAGTGCAAGTACACTCTGGAGACTCAGCTACACATTAACGGCGAGTCAACAGCCACCTCCTAAGGGACTAATACCTGAGACTCTCCACCTTTAATTTTTAATACTGAAGAAAACTCTTGGATGAAAGGTGACATGTCTTCCGAAAACCTCTGACGAAGTCTTCTCACCTTCTTTTCAAGCTCTTAAGACTCAAATATAGGCACACCCAGATTTCTACCTGTATGTTCAGCACACGTGTGGCGGTGAGGCTGCTGTGCTGGAGCCAAGCTTGAAGATGCTGCGAGAAGATGAGTGTGTCGGGACAGAGGGGGTCCCTGCAGAACGTGAACTCCACGAGTTCAGTCTCGTTCTCCGCTTGACACAAACCGGCGCTTTGTAACGCTTCACACATCTCGTCAAGACTACAGGGAGAGGACAAAACATGCTGTCAGAGACACACATCACCAGGTACAGATACAGGAGACTAGATTGTAATACAGAGACACCAGTGCCCTCCGATTAGCTGCATGTCAGTATTCTGCTTTAACCACCAGTAAACGTTACCAGGCATTAAACACATGCTGCATTAACCCAAAAAAAAATCATGCTGAAACTAGCACCTACCTGATCTTGAGAGTGTCGATCCATGCGCACAGTGGCAGACCTCTTGCTCGGTGCTGTTTGGTCCTGACGCTGTCGGACAGGAAGCAGGAAACACTCTGCAGATTCTGCTTCACTCTGCAGCGAGCTAGAGAGGCAGCCAGCTTGGTCTTACACCTGTAAAAACACAGCAGAGCCCATTTTCATGTTTCTTTGATTCAGTTTTGGTTATTTGGTTATGCATAAATAAACTTCTGTTGTTCGCATGTGACTTTTACACTCGCACACACACCTGTGCAGACTTTTCTCCAGGTTCCTGACTTCCTGGATGGGTTCTTGCCCTTCTATCGTTGGACGTTCACACGGAGAAAACTTTTTGTCTTGAAAGTCGAACAGCATCACCATCGCCAAAGGCAGCAAGTCGTCAGACTGAAAAACATTGCAGGGCTTTATTACTGACTGAGTCCTGAAACAATTGGACTGCTGTGCAAAAATGGGCAAAAAAACCAAAAAAAAAACCCTGGGCAAATGTTATAAAACCGTATTTTATATTTTAAAAATATATTTTAGAATGAGTAAACTGAGAAAATGTGCTATTTTAAGAAAAATATCAGCACATTTTGAATTACTGGCAGCAATGCATCTCAAAAAAATTGGACAGGGCCTTTTTCACCACTGTGTAACATCCTGCCCTCTTTTAAAAACATTCTGGGCTATTTATTTCTCTTGTTTTAGGCCTTTGACTCAAAATGTTGTAGCTTGAGGGGAAGCTCAGCTCTCTACTGAGAGGTCTGAGCCTCCCTTTAATCCAAACGCTGTGTCACACTGAGTCAAAACGGTGACGTTTCAAACCAGAAAACCAAACAAAGGAGTTAGAAGGCAGTGAAATGTTCACAAAAGCTGAAGTTAAGGGTTCCCTTCATTCTTCAAAACAGGAATATATGATCACCAAAGAGTAAAGTAAAAATGATGAGCACGTCCGTCTGCACTCTTCCTTATGGCTGTGTACACGCACTCTTTTTGTCAGGTTGTGCGTGTGTGTGTGTGTGTGTGTGTGGGAGGCAGAATATGTATGTTGCAGTAAGGATGTGTGTTGAATTATAAAGAGCTGTGTGGTGGCTTTATAGTCGCACTCACAGACTAACGGCCTCAGCCCATTCTCTGCGTTTCCCTCGACTTATCATTCCCACACAGAGCCACGCACGAGCGGAGCGAGTCTCTTATCCATGTATGTGTCATAGCGCAGTGTTTCACAGCGTAATTTACGTTCCCAGTCAGAGAGAGTGTGTCTGCCTCTCCCTTGTGTGTATCATTTGCCACCTATAACCAGCCAGACCATGTACGCGTCTGAATACAAATGGCCTTTAACTGCGTCCCTGCCTCCCTCGCTATCATTCCGCAATATTCGGATGAATCGCGCTCATACGGCCACAAACACTTTATTTGAAGACAGATAACTCCCAGACTGCTTCACACACTCGGTGTGTGAGCGTATTTCTTTTTTTTTTCTTTTTAAAAAAAACATTGGATTTGAGTCTGTAAACACCCAAATGTCAAATCTGGTGGGACTCACAATATGCTGCGAAGTATGGAAGCAGCTGTCGGAGATGATGTCCTCGAGTAAATCTTGATCTAGGAGGAAAACAAAGTTGTTAATGAACAAAGGGAAGAAAACATCGGCTGAATTTTAATGAATTAAGAGAAATTTGAATCGTAGTGTCCATCAAAGCAGAGGATAATCATACTCTGTCACTTGTTTAGTCATATAGACAGTTTGGCTCTATTTGCTGATATCTTGAAGCTCTGTCTTCAGCTGAACCAAGGTCATGTGTCTTTTTGATATGCTAACAGCAACTGTGTTTTGGTTATTATTCTAGTTAATACACAATCATTTCTGATTCAGAGTCAGAACTACAGATGCCAGAGCCTGCAAAGTTGCTGCCAGTCAGTGTTGGACGCTGGGATATTTCCCTGTGCCCTGACGGTGAATTTGAGCAGCATTAGTAGAGCGCAGGAATGAGTAGAAGGACCTCTAAAAAGACTCAGTATGAGTCATTCAATCTCTACTTGCTACTTTACACATAAAGTAAAAAAAAACTTTTGGTATAATGAATTTGGGAATAAAAAGTTCCAGGAGGGAGAGAGCAAGAGGGGGGAAGAATGAAGAAGAAATGCTAAAGTGCCCATCAGAGTTAATTAAAAATGAAAAGAGCTAAACAAAAATCCTTGAGCTTACTGCGTATCTCTGTTTAAAACAGGCAGGCTATTTGTTTTGTAAGTCACTGGGTCCCTTTATAAATTGGTATGTGCATTGATTAGTGTATTCCCAGAGGGTTTTTGAGGGTTCACCTGCAGCCAGAACCTTGAAAACTCAGGTTCAGAGGCTCTTTGTCCCAAAGCTTTGCATTTTTAATCCAAATAACTTTCAGACCAACATGAATTTGAGCCTGAGGGGAGTAATAACACATATAATAACATGTATAATAACCTAAAAACTGTTCAGTTATTCCTTTTGTACACTCATGGATGCAGACAACTGTCTACACACGTATTCACTTTTATTTTGGACACAATTTTGTTGCTAAACATGGAAAAACAGTTTACTGAAAACACTTTAATCACATGTGGAGTACTGTGCAAAGGTTTGGAGCCACCCCTCACTTCTTTTAATTTTGCTTCCAAGAAGCCAGCACTGCACTGATTTTAACTTGTGTCTCAAGGCACTTTGTTTCTAGCAGAATGCTGCAATAACAGGAATCATTCCCATATATCCAGTTGAAGTAATATTTAAAAACGGAACGATAACAGCCTCTGTTATTGTTTGTGGTTGCATTTCAACCAGTGGTGATGGAGATGTTAGAACATCTGATTGGTGCAGCTTCATTTCATTAATAATATAGTTATTTTTGAAATATATATATATATATAGATATATATAAAACACTTGAAATGCTTACCATTTGTTCCACTAGTTTTCTAAAAAAAGAAATGCTGTTCACTCCCCCGACCACATTGAAAAGCTATGACATCACAGCAATGTGATTGGTCAGTTGCAACATTGCTACATACGATGATGCAGGAACAACAACAACAATACAGGGATAACAGACGCAGCAGGAATTATGATATGGAGGCAGTATTAAATAACACATAGTGTCAGTTTAAGTGGCCTGGGATGGAGTCAAATAACCAGCCTGAATTATCTTGTCAGTCTGTCCCTGCTGCCAAGAAATTACTCAGAGTAATGAGAAAATTATTTCTGGAAACGAGTGTTCCTGTTCAGCAGAAAACACAATAGTGCTAAAGTATCATGAGGTTATGGCAAATGGAACTCAATGAGAGCTCAACAGAAAGGTTCCGGTGGTAAAACGAAGGAAAAAACCTGTTTATGAGCCATAATTTTGTGAGCATCCAAAGTAGACTTACTGCGAGCTCCTGTGGAAACCACAAGCCTGTGTTTGCATTTTATTTGCGCTTTCACATGAAAGAAGTACTGAACTGAAACAGTAACATTTGTGATTGCTGTTACCATGGAAATGTGTAAGTCTGTGTACACTTCAGTGCACACAAACAACAAAAGCTATTAAACAACACAAAAAGGATTAAATCTGACAAGGCTGGAATTCATTTCCTGTGAAATCTGGCATAGTTTTGCTTATAGGTTGGGTAGTTATGTAGACAATTATGCAGACAGTAATTATGTAGACATGTCTTGTAACTTTTGCCTCATTTTATTTTTTGATCTAAATGATCTCTTTCACTGCCATGAGTCATAACTGGTTGGTTCAAGGCTTAAAAGTCTTTCTATAAGGACTTTAGACATTGTCAGTGGAGTAAATGCTTATTCCAGAAAATCACTTTTGGAACTGGAGCCATTAAAACAGTGTTCAGTCACTGTTGAGCTCTGTCAGCAAGATGGTACCAGGTGGTTTAAAAAATGAATGCAGAAAGTTTAGTGTTCAGCTGTTGTCGTGCCTCTGATAAGTTGACAAATGTAAGTCCAAATTCACCTCTTTTAATTCTAATTTTGTCTCTACCTCCTCCTGAGAGAATATCTGCCTCATTAGCTGCCAAACGCTCTGTTATGGTTACCAGCTCTGTGTGGCAACAACCAGGCCAATACCCAAATTTAGAGTGAGTATGTTGCATG